CATCGCTACTGGGGCGGAGGCCATCGCTATTGGGGCGGAGGCCATCGAGGCCATCGCTACTAGGGTGGAGGCCATTGCTACAGTATTATATAGGTTGGAGGCCGTTGCTACTGGGGTGGAGGCCATCGCTTTTGGGTTGGAGGCCATCACACATGACATGTTGTCAACACCAATTAATTTGGGGAGACTCGACCATTGTAACCATTGTATGCCTGTCCCTTGCTTGCTCAGCATTGTTACAGTAAGTCATTGTGACTAGTCATTAAAAGCTCAGACTAGAGAAAACGAATAGGAGAATCAGCCCTGTCCATGGCTCTGTCAAAGCCAACTGGCTGTAGCACTGTAGTCTGATCTCTTTCTAGCCGCAGCCTACAACCCCATCTTTGCTGGTGAGGGATCCTTGCAGTCTTCACCTCCTGCGCATCACTGACTCCACATCCCGAGATCCCCATTGTCACGGCCTGTCGGCCACTCACCGACAAGCCGAAGCGCCGGCTGCCGGGTGGCAAGTATTTCTCCACGGGGTTTTGGACGACCTCCAAAGACGTGGCGGTGCCTTGACGGGAATGGACCCGTGAACTGCAGAACTACCGAAGCTCCAACAACTCTGGCTGTGTTTGAGAATGGTCCAATCTTTGCGGTGTTACTATTGGGCCATTGGGTGTGTTGTCCTCTCTAGCCCATAAAGTAAACAGAAAGAAGGGAATCATTCTAAATGTGAGTCATTTGTTACTACTAGCTTCTTGTAACTACTAGTAAGGCACCTGTTCCTAGTAGCGTGGCACTTGTTCCTAGTAGCTATTCTAAATGTGATTATCCAAATGGGATGTCATCCAAATGTGTGCATCTGGTGACTAGTAGTAACAAGAAGCTATTAGAAACAAGTGCCACGCTACTAGTAACAAGTGCCTTACTAGTAGTAACAATAAGAATGTTGGGTTGGACCGCACCATCTGACCGCCCCGCCAGACTGACACCTTCATCAACGTCTCGTTCGCGCCACTAGCACGGATCTTCTGCCGCTGCAGCAGCTCGACACAAAGGCCTCACGTGCGAAGGTTTGGCGTTGTTCTTTTTTTTAGGGCCTAAGTCTTATGTTATGTATTATATATTATATGGTCTTAGCTCGCTCCCTCTTTTTTTATGGCCCCCTCCCCTCGAGTACTAGGACGCTACTACCTACTCGACGCAGGATCGCTCGCACTAATGACTTGGTTCCTAGATTGTTTTGGAAACTAAATTAAATGGTTGTCTTCAATTGCCAATATCGACTCACACGTCCACTTTCGGGCACCAGCGTGAGTTTTCAAGATGCTGGCAAAGCCGATGTTTTGGTGGATTGGCATGTATATAGGTGGCCTGATTCTGCACTTAACAAATTGGCAGAAAACACCGTCCACTCTAAATCTACCCCACTGCAGTTTGGAGGCCTCCCACAGCCATCCATCTTTTGTAGTGCCAACCCTCATCTCCTCCAAACCTGCCACTTCGCGCGTTCTCCAAGCCTGCAAAGCGCTTGAAGGTCCTTGGAACGCGCAAGGATGGATGCACCTGAAGCCAAACGCATGCTCTTGGAGGAATCGAGGGCTGTGGCGGGAGATCATGAAAATATGCCAGATTGAAGCCCCCCCATATAGACGTGTCTTCCTCGGATGGCTCGTGGTGGTCGTTGGTTGTTTGGAGTATTATTTTGGTTTCGCCACCACTGTTAATCGCATTTCCAGCATGATCGCCACTGCGAATCACATTGGCCAAAAAAACCTGATAACTAAAAGATCGCCTGGGCACCGTTCCCAGACCACCCATGCTGCATGGAAGTCCAACACCTATCCACGGATGGAGGGTCTTAAGGCTGAAGTCTAAAGCAAGGCAACCAGATCTAGTCTTTCAGGCTATAATTAACATGACAGGTGCCCGCGACATACAAAGCCAAACAGCCTCAGCGGGGAAGCAAAAGAACTCTGCCTGTGGATAGTGCAGTATTCTCACCCAGGTTATATACATATATTATGCTACCCCACCCAAAGATCTACGATTTTTGCCTGTCACACGCATGTCTGAGTCGATATGATAGATAGATCTACAAGCAGCAAACAACATGCAGAGGGTTCAGATTATATTTTCAGGTGGTATATATTTTGGTGAAAGCCAGAAGATAGGAGCAAAAGACAAGGTTGTTTGATGCAAAAAAAGGGAAGGAGAAGAAGACCTGTTTTGTTGATTTTGTCCTTTAAGATTATGTCGAGGGAGACTTCAAAGAGCTCGTTATCAAACAAACACCATCCTTTACACATCAGTCAGCTATCAAAATATACAGTAAGTGCGACAGACTCCTAAGAATCTTATACGCAAGAGAACGTTCAAAAATGAAAATGCAGAAGATACACCAAAGTTGTCTTAAACAAAATCCTCAATATGATACTATGAAAGATTGCTTGGTGATGATCATGAATGTGTGGTTTAGATTTAGTTGAAGGACTTACAATGCATTATGACAACTTAGGCTGCATCAAGATCAGAGTCAGTGGAGCAAATAAGGAAGAACGGTGAAAGAATGAATGTATTGAATGCCAAGATGACAGATGCAGCTAATGTTGACATTTTGCACTATTATACAAACACACCTTTTAAAGCAAATGCTGACACAAGGCAGTGAAAAGGCCACTGCATAGATAATGTATGCATGCTGGGGGAATGCATTCATGTTCTTTCTTGAAACTGCTCTTATCAGTGGGACAACTAGAAAGATGCTCTTGATAGGAAAGCATTAGTGATATTATAGCGAGAGATGAGTTGACTGAAAAGGGATATCCAATAGGAAATGGAAAAGGTATTCTTGAGTTTAACTTACAAATATGACCCACCCAAAGAAACCATCGCAGTAAGACTTTTGGCAATGGTTGAAAACAACCTCATATCTATTCCTTAATCCACGACCTGAATCAGCGAACGGGAAGAACACCCTTTATGCAAAAATAACTATTTTAAAAGTGAAACACGTAAGGATTGTCAGGTTAGAAGATAACCATTTTTGTTTATCTGTCATATAGCGTCTATGAAGTAGGTATTAAACGCCAAGCGGGAATCATAACTGAACGAAACAAAAGTTGAACAACGTCAAATATGCAATCAAAACACAGAAGCTTCTTTTACTGTACAGAACTTTAGTTGAGGGTTGCATATAGTTGAGGATGAAGACACTTAGAACAATCTGAACCTATAGCTTCAGCAAGGCGGCATTTAGCCCGTTTCAAGTTATACTATTCAATTGAGACAGTGATATTAAAATGTTGATTCCCTGTGGAATGAGTAGCTATGATATATCTGAAAAGATCCCCAACGCAATCACTGAAATTAAGACTACCAGAGCATTTACACCCATTCATCAACATCTATAAAACAATGGAATCTTGTCAGTTTGATAAATGGACAGTGTATGATGACACGGTTGATTATGATAAGTTGACTGACTTTACTTTATAGCATGTGGAGAATCCATATTATTTTTGCAAATGGTGTGATGTTATTGAACACAGAGATAATGTAATCTATCAGGCAATGAACCTAGTAAAACACCCAAGAGATATTCAAAATCAGTTCCTGCACACAAACATGTCTGATAATCAAGAAGAAGACAAACTGAATAAGAAGACGATAGGTGTTGTTAACTATTAACTATGGACTGCTGGAGAAGGAAGCCTCAGCATCCAATCAGAGTTTTTCTGTTGAGCCTGAAGAAACAACGGAATACCGCGCAGAATACAGCTGCAGGGTGAATACGGATGCAGTACATTGAAAGTTTGTTCTTTGGATTTCTCGAGAAAAAAGAACATACCAAAACTGCAAACTCTATGTCTGCAAAGTGGCTCGGTATTTGGTGTTCCTGGGGAACTCCAAATCCAAAACAAAAAAAACAAAACCAAACCTTTAAAAAAACTCGCAGGAGAATCTTTGGTGTCAGCCTGAAATATGTTTTTGGTTTTCATTGAATGTTTTTGGTTCCTTCATCAAAAAACAAAAAGAATCTATGTTTTTGATGGTTGTTGCCTTGGTCTATGCAATCACCAATGCCCCCCCAAAAAAAACTACATGTGCTTTTTGGTTTTCTCGTACTTAAAAAAAAAGGAGACAACAATGCAAAAAGCACATAGGGTCGATTGTTTTGATGAGGGAAACCCAAAAATACTCAATGAAAAAAGACATCTTTGAGGCCGAAACCAAAGATTCTCCTCAGACTCCTCAGAGTTTTGTTTTCTTGTTTTTGGTTTTGGGTGTGGGTGTTGGCAGTCTATAAGAATAAAACCAATAGACAAGCGATAGAGCAAATGCACAAGGGGAGCATACCTCATTGCGCATAGAGATGTGCTGTTTGTAGTTGTTTAATTTGATGTACTGCATTTTTTTGCACATGATCAATCTTCAACCTGAGGTCAGCGCCGGGTGGGACAAGGTATCCCACAAACTCAAAAACAAGTTAAAATAGATTCAAATGTTAAAACACAATGTGTATATACATATATATGAAAATGTCACCAAAACACTGCAAATGCATTATAGATATGTATATATATATGGTACCCCTCAAACAAACCAAGACCTTGCTTGGAAAAAGTATTACAAACACATGAAAAAGGTATATCTTTGGGGGGTACCATACAAATATATATATATATACCGATACATATTGGATGCAACTTGATGCACGTGCCAAACCATCACGTGCCACGAGAACGCCCGGAAGCCCTTTGCACCATTTTACCATGTGTAACCTTCGCGGTTCTGGTATGTCTGATCAGTGAGACTAAGTTGTGGATTGGATCAGCCCGGGTTTCATTTCCTATGGTTTTTGCATGCAAACATTGCAAAAGCACAGTTTAAAGTCAAAAAACCGTTTACTTTAAAAAATGACGTTTAACAACAAATGCAAATCGGAAAAGAAATTGAACATGTTTCTATGTTCAGCAATCCCTTGATATGCTAGCCGCTAGCCCACACGATTGATCACGTGTGACAAGAACAACCTTCTTCTCTTTTTGACGCGCTTCCCACGCGATTGATCATGTGACAACAACTGTGCAGCAGTTGACAACAATTGACCATGCCGCTCTCCATCGCTCTGATTGAATATATGATAAAAACCACCACAAAAGCCTGCAGAAATCCTGTCAGGGCAACGCTCAGCACATGAGTATTTGTCCATGTTTTGTTTATATTGTGTTAATGGCGTGTCTATCTTTTAGTGTTTCACATGTTTCATTTTTTCACATGTGTTTACAGAGTTTTCCAATGTTTGCATTGTTTTATGCACTGTTAAGATGTTTAGATATATTTTTGAGAGATTGAGTCTGGGACACTATGTTTGTCATTCCGAAACCCTTTCCCACGAAACCCGGTTGTGAGATGCTTTGATATATTTTGATATTTGTTAATTTCAAGATGTTTAAAGATGTTACAAGATGTTTGAAGAGTTTCAAAGATGTCTGATGAGTTTACATATTTCTACAGATGTGTAAATATGTCTTTAGATTTGTAAATAACATATTGAATTTATTCCATCAGATTTTGTTGTTTATGTCCTTTTATGTTTTAGTTATGTATTGGCTTTTATTCTATTTATCAATCTGTATGTTTATTTCTTTATATTTATGCATATTGGTTTGTTGGAAAAGAACAGTACTGATCTAGACCACTTGACATGTGCACCACCACTTAGCGCCAGCGATCTGAGATGTGTCTGATCTGATTGTCTGGCTAGCATCTACAGTATATATATATATATCAGTCAGGTCTTTATCCAGTTTCCACTATTTTTTGCATGTAAGCAAAACACTAGCCCCATCTCCCCTACTGCATTTCAGAATGCATCGGATCCATCCCCAGCCCTGGGCACATCCGAAATCGCAACGTCACAACCTCCACCAGCAATCCACCTCACCTCCACCAGCACGTTCTTCGCGGTATGGATATAGATCAGGAGCTTCCCAACCTTCCATCGCTAGTAGGTTGGAAGCCATCGCTACTACGAGCTTCCCAATCTTCCAGCCATCCAGCCAGGTGGTTCAAACATCGCCCGAGTCCAAGTCGAGGGCTTGGAAGATGTGGACTGGTGACATACCGGGCGTGCCATCTTTAGGCTTCTGAAGTGAACAAGCTTGCGTGGACTGTTTCAGGAATTCTACCTTGCCTACAACCATCAAACGAGTGAGATGCCTTCATTCACCATGCCCAGAGCTCGCTAGCACACGGGGAATGACCTTTCAAACCGTACTGTCATGGCTCCTGCAATTATCCTGAACTCCGAGTTGGGTTTTGCTCGACCATAGTGGTGATTGAGGCCGACCCTAGGTGCTGTGATTTTTTTTTTAATTTCGCACAAATTACCCAATTAAGCGGCTGACTGACAGGTCAATTTCGCAAGCAAGCGTGGACAAACGCAAACACCTCTGGGTTGCAAACAACTCCAAGCTACAAACTGTAATTGCAAAACAACAAAGATTGCGCATGAGCTTGCGGAACAAATCACCTTTTGGCACATGGAGCTCTCTGCGACTGGCTCAACAGTTTCATCCACGCCACCTGGCCTTATTCAAGGGACTGTCCAGCAATGCCATGAGGCATTGATGTGTGATGTCCGGCCTGCGCTCTCTTGACGAGAAATGGCTGGAAAGGGTATGTCGCAGCACTCCCAGTATGTACCCTTTGTTCAAGAAACATGAAAACCCACAGAGCCACGGAGCAGTGTGACACACTACTTTGACAAAGTGGTGTTCTACGAAATATAAAGGAGCAAACGAGGCAACTGGTTACAACTCTCTCGCCGTTAGCTCTGATTGCGACCCGGGAGGTTGTGGGTTTGCGGAAGGTGCATGTTGGTTCTGCCTATTCCAACCATGAACTTGAAATTTGGGGTGGGTGTGGTAGCTGCAGGGACTTGTATTCCATCACCCATCTGCGGTAGACTGGACTCCCACTGTGACCAGGAAGGAGCTAAAGTGCGAAAACCTGGCAGGAAACCAAGTCAGGTGTTTTGCAAAATTCAGCTGTTCGATCGTCTTTTCAAATCAGTCGGCATACTTCCCTGAATGAAAAGCTCTTTAGGCCCATATAGATAGGCCCTCAAACATCTGGGCTTGGAGTGTTTCTTCTTGCAAACTCAAAAATCTGGCTACCTTGATAAACAAATAAAGTTATATAACTTAACAAATAAAGTGAGAGAGCGGGAGGTCACAACGAGCCAGCGGACTAGAAACCAAATCCGCTTCCAACCTTTGTCTCGCAGGTAGGATCTTTTCATGGGGACTCCAGGGCGGGCTGAAGGATTGGTGTGCAAAGCTATTAGGTTGGAGGCCATCGCTAGTAGGTTGGACCATAGCAATTAGGAGGAAGGCCATCGCTAGTAGGTTGGAGGCCATCGCTAGTAGGTTGGAGGCCATCGCTAGTAGGTTGGAGGCCATCGCTAGTAGGTTGGAGGCCATCGCTA